CACGAAATTAGAGAAAGTGCAAAGGTTTGCGACAAGGTTAGTTCCAGAGCTAATGGGAATGTCCTATGAAGAAAGGTTAAGGGAAATCGGCCTGACGACACTGGAGGACACGAGGGTCAGGGGAGACATGATAACGACATATAAAATACTGTGCAGAATAGAAAAGGTGGACAAAGACAGGATGTTCCAGGGAGGGGGGACACAGAAACAAGAGGTCACAATTGAAAGTTGAAGACTCACATGAGTCAAAGGGATGTTAGGAAGTATTTCTTCAGTCATAAAGTAGTCAGTCAGTGAAATAGCCTAGCAAGTGGCGTAGTGGAGGCAAGAACCATACATAGTTTTAAGACGAGGTTTGATAAAGCTCATGGATCATGGAGAGAGAGGACCCAGTAGCAACCAGTGAAGAGGCGGGGCCACGAGCTAATACTCGACCCCTACAACTACAAATAGGTGAGTACATACACACACACACACACATGTGTGTATGTATGTATATGTATGTATGCCCAGCGAGGGAGAGAGGAGTCAGCTCTGTTGACTGAGTGAAGTGAGCGGCCAGAGTGAGGAAGAGGCAGGTGTGGGCATACTGAAGTGGTAGGCCTATAGGTGGCAGCACCAGCATGATGCGAAATATGAACTTAGCTGGCAGACAGCATGGGCTCTCTATGCAGACAGTACAGGCTGTCTACATTTGCTCGGCCACCTACCACATGATCGTCCCTGACCATGACTGGCTATAAAGAAACTTTATGTATATATATATATATATATATATATATATATATATATATATATATATATATATATATATATATATATGTGTGTGTGTGTGTGTGTGTAAGTGGACATGGAAAAAAATTCCTATAGGGAGGGAAGAAAAAAACAGGTGGGGTGTGCTAAACATTGAGGTCATAGGCAGTGAGCGTTGATAGGCATCACTGCACACCTTCCTGTATCTGGACAGATACTGCAACGCAGGAGACATTGCTGCGGCTGAGCTGTGACGTAACAGGGTATGGTTTCCTCTGGAACAGTGAAGCAGTCATCGTAGGAGTCGCTGCAGGTTTCATTCAACCTGGAGCACTACCTGCTGGTGCCCTCGAGTGAGGCGCCGTCAGTACTCGGCAACTGGGCAGGACTTCTTGTGGCAAGCTACTCAGGACAACATTTCTCGACTGGCACTGTCACTGGGGCTGTTACTGCCGGTGAGCGTGGAGTAAGTCGTGGCAGAGACGACTCGACAAAACATCTGAGAGTCGTGACATCATACACCAGACTGCAGTGAGTGAGCTATCAGTCAAAGTGACATCATCTTTGTGCAGGAGCTCACTGAAGCTATGACACGAGGCTGACACAGTGCCTGCCGATAGGGCTTAAACTTCGGCTTGATGAGTGTCATTCTCTCGGCAGTTGGAGTTATAGCAGAGGTTAGTCTAAGCATCCCCAGACTTGTTTCTCTACATATAACTGCACTCTGAAGGTCTGGAGGTGAAGTGAAACAAATCTCTATGTGAATCATAGCAGGTACGATTCTGCAGGACATCACAAGCGGCGAACAATAAGAGCTTTCTGTACAAGAGGCTCGGACGATCAGGGCTGACTAATATCAGCTGTCAAATGTGTGGGTCACACTGGGTGACAAGTAACACGAGGTGCTACACAGTAGTCTGGGCTCAAGACCTGTGGTCCACACACACAGCTGGGCTGAAGACCACACAGGACACATGGAAAACTGTGCACACCCACACTGCACATGCGATACTACCTGGCTTAAACTAGCAAATTATGCTTTTCTGTGCAAAAATCGACACTAAGCTATACACGAACTTTTGGGAACACTGACTGAGAGGAATTAATTAACACATGACATACATCTTCTCTCAGTCTTCTCGACAATACTGAAATAATTACTAGAACACTCAGTGTGACATCATGTGATGTCAGGCATGACGTCAATAGACGTCTTGTGACGTCAGGCAGACATCGTGATGTCATGAAGTCGGGCAGCATCGTGAGTGACGTCGTGAAGTCGGGCAGCATCATGGGTGACGTCGTGAAGTCGGGCAGCATCATGGGTGACGTCATGAAGTCGGGCAGCATCGTGATGACGTTGTGAGGTGACATCAGCGGACTGATGCTGCAGCAGACCACAGCATGTGGCCTAGGACGTCTGGCTTGGTAACCCATGTGGCTTGCAGATCCACGTGTCATCGTCGACACCCCTAGTGGCTTGCTTCACTTGGCCTCGTGATCTACATGGCATGCTGATCCACTTGGCATGGTGATCCACGTAGCATGGTGATCCATGTAGCTTTGAGTGGCCTGAGGCACTCAGATACACAGCTCTGGCAATGAATTCACACGGAAAACAGCAGAGGGAGTGATGGCAGTGGTGGTGTATGGTAGTGTGGTGGCGAGGAGCGTGGGTGAGTGCATGGCGAGGGAGGATCTGGCCACTTCCTCCTCTCCCACCCACAAAACGGCGAAATACTCACACTGGACGCAGAAATCGCCACAAATCATCTCTGACTTGCTGAAATAGCCGTGCCGAGCTGAACAACAACAGCAGAACATACAAGTGACACTGAACATGTGACTTGAGAAACAGCATAGGATGCTGTTGCGTGGAGTCACAGAGATGCCACTTAAAATTCTCAAAGAAATTCGGTAAATTTCTTCCAAATCCTGCTTGTACCTGTGTCTGGATGCTGAAACGTGCAGACACGACATCAGGATAACTCATTGAGAGATGGATGCTTCTTGTGTGGGGTGATGAAGTGAAGACAACTTCATCTCTCTTCCTCTCTCCGGGCAAACGCACTTGCCGCGAGGCACCAATGTCACCAATGTTTACGAGGTTTATTGTGTGCCTCTGCCTCACTCTGGCCGCTCATATCACTTAGTCAACAGGCCTCACTCCTCCTCTTCCTCACTGGGCATGGCCTTCCCGGGCCATGGGCACTTAACACATGTGTTAGTGTACCCCACGACATTGGAAATAAAGTAAAAAGCCTCCGAAGCCTTTATCATTACTCCCCGCTACCAAAAATCACCAAATAATCTCATTTAACACACATCACACCCACCCACACACATGCACATGCTTGTGGTGGGGACAGCAGCAGTGATTCGACCTCTGCTCCCACAAATAGGATAAAAAATGGGATCTCAAAGGTAGGACATAGAGGAAAGGGGATGGAGGATGGCTGAAATGAGAAAGATTCATAGGCAGAAAGGCTCAAGAGCACAGTGGAACAAGAGTTGGACAAAAGGTTTAATGAGTGAAGATATCTGCATAGAGTAAGAAGTGGGAGTTAAGAGCTGAAGCTGCTCAGGCAAAGATGCTGAGCCTGGCAGAGGAACTGCAAGTGTTCAAGTAGGATGTAAATGCAAGGACCAAAAGGAGCAAAGTGTTGGGAACAGGAACATCAGTGGACATTGATATTGCAGAAGGAATATCAGGCCACTGGGGTGTCCAGAAGCTAAGGGAAACAAATAAGATGCTTAAATTGGATCCAGAAAACTGGATGGAAAATAAATGAGAAGAGGAGAGGGAGAGGTCACTATTTATTCATTGGCTTCAGGAGGCTGAAGGAATGACCTATGATGAAAGAAGACAGGGGACAAAAAGAGAGATTAAGAGCATCATCACAATGATAGGTGAGAACATGTCCTGATAAATTTTCACAGACTTGGGGGGGGGGGGTTAATTCGAGGGGAGAAAAAATCGCCCAGTCAAATTGATTCTCTAGACAGAACTGGTACAGAACAGGATCTTACATGAGAAACCACTATTAAAGGACTCCCAGAAATATCAGAAAGTGTACATCAAAAATGACAGAACACGAAACAAATGGGAACAACTGAGAGGAAGGGTAAGAAGATGCCAGTGACAGGAAAGAGAGATAGGGCAGGCATGAACAGACAGGAAAGCTCAACTTCAGTGGAAACACCAAACACAATAACCAGAAACAAGCCACTCCTACAGTAGTCACCCAGCACCAGCACTAATATCGCAATTACTACAGCCTCCCATAATATCCTACCATGCCTGCACCAGCCTTTCCCATCCCCCAGAATATAGTACTGGAAAGAAAGCTGAGGGTAAGGTACACCAATGCAGATTGAATAACAAGAGTGAGGAGTGGCAAGAATGAATCATTGATGCATCCCTAGACATCATAGCACTCAAGGATATAAAGCTCAGAGGGATGATGTTTCAGTTCAACTTGGATCATTTATTGTACTTATACATCATACTTATTTTGTTGTACCATTTTCCGAGGACATGCGATGGCGTGGGTGCCTCAGAGCTAATTTCATTCTACTCCTCGTTTGGTGTACTAGCCTCCATGAGCAGTATATATAGTACAGTAACCACAAACAAGTGGTATTTATGGTCCAGTGAATTTTTGCTCACCACGAGGCTGGCTAAAACAACACGTGTTCAATCCCCCGGCTAGTCACAGTGTTGTTATTGATTAAATACCACTCGTTCATGGTTACAATATATATATTGCTCGTGGAGGCTACTACACCAATCGGGGAGTAGAATGAAATTAGTTCTGAGGCACCCCCACCATCGTATGTCCTCGGATCACGGCACAACATCTAGCTCTGCTGGTTGCATGATTCTTGTAGGATTGTATGGTCCAGTGGGTTAGAGCGTCGTCAATTTTCACTCACCATGAGGCAGGCTAAAGCGACATGGGTTCGGCTCCCTGGCTAGTTGCATTGTTAGTATTGATTAAATACCTCTCGTTCATGGTTACAATACTATATATACTGCTCGTGGAGGCTAGTACACATAAGTAAATTTCAACTGAACTGTAGTGATATATCTCAGGCGGATATTTCCTCTAGATAAATCACTGTTGATTTGATATCAATAATATTATATTTATCAATGTGCCTAACTATCTATGACAGCAACTGTTACGTTTTATGTACATACATGACTAACATATCAGTTATCTTTCAATTGTCGTTTGGGACAGACCTGCAGCTATTATATGATCCTGCGACTGGTTACTCTGTTTATTACTACCAGTTGGGACAAGCTGGACTCTCTGCTCATGTAATGAAGGTGAGTACAAGTTTTATATTAGAATCATATTACTGATGGTATAAAATGCCGACGAGTTCATATGAGACACGTGTGTAACACTTGGGAATCTTTATTTCCAGAACTTATCACCTGTGTACTAGACATATGTGTAACACTTGGGAATCTTTATTTGCAAAACTTTTCACCTCTGTACCAGTCATATGTGTAACACTTAAGAATCTTTATTTCCAGAACTTTTCACCTGTGCACCACCCTTCTTCAGATTCATATAATACATGAGACAGCAGCAATATTGAGGTGATCATATTCTTAGCCATCAGGGGTGAAAAATAAGTGTGCTTTGTTGTTTATCATCCGATTTCTTTCATTTTTGGTGTACTTTAAGAAGCATATATTCTTCCTACAATAACGAAGCTTCAATTAGCTAGCCCAACAAACAAATGAGAAAAAAAATATTTACAAAAATACATATTTGGCAGCAAGTAACCAAGTATTAATAATAATAATATATTTATTTACTACAAGTACATGTACAAGGTAATCAGGCCTAGCTGACATCAGTAACATATTACTGTATAGAAAGCCACTTGTTATGCTGAGCATTTCGGGCAAATTAAGTCAGTTTTGTCCCAGGATGCGACCCACACCAGTCCACTAACACCCAGGTACCCATTTTATACTGATAGGTGAACAGGGACAGGGACAGCGACAGCAGGTGTCTTATGGAAACACGTCCCTAATGTTTTCCAGCCGTACGGGAGGATCTCCGGACTTCAGCGTGTGAGCTGAGTGTGCTAGCAATGGAGCTACAGCACTGCGATCAGTTGTTTTCGCACTCCCTACTGATAAAACATTGTTAGTCCGATTTTATCACGAACCTCAATACTGTGAAAATTTGTCTGGACTGCCTCCAAGTGAGTCGCCTACCCTGGCAAGCTCTGTTGACACCGAGCTCTGAGGTCGGTACCTCAGCCTCACAAGTGGCTTATAGGACAGATTTTCATAAATGATTGATGTTGCAAGAAATCTCGCCTGCATGCACGTTTAAAGGACTAACTTACTTGATGATGTAGAATCTATTCTGGTCTTCAACCTCCCTAAGCTTAGCCCCTTTGGACTTCCCCTCAGAAACCACATGCAACCGGGAGCCTTAGTTCCTGCAATATTCAATCGTTATTAGTGACCTGCCTGCACCTCAGAAATTCCTATTTCCAAGGGGGGGGGGTGAATACACTAGAATACTATGCAGAAAGTGACACTAGCTTCTAGGCTGACAATAGACGCTGGTACGTACTGGGCATGCACTGCCAGCTGCACAAAGGCCTACAGCTCAACTCACTCACAACTTTCCCCAGACACTGGCCAGGATCCTAAGAAAAAGTGGAGGTCTTGTCTTACTGTATGGGCCTGCCGGAGGAGGACATCTACGGTACATCGAGGTGCCTCCACCAGATTTTCCCAGGTCTAATATGTGAAGACACGTGGGGGCGCCGCCTGCTGATCACGGCACATGTTGTTCAGATGGTATCTAGTCTTAGAAGGAAGCTCTGGCGTCTTCGAGACCCATGCCTCGTCATTCAAACTTGGGCTGCCAGTTCTCCCTAGCTAACATAACCTAGTGTTTGCCTACATTCGACCTATTACTACCTATGTTAAGGTCTTAGGTCTACATTATTATTATCTACAGTTCCCTCAATAATCCTAATATTAGTGTACTAGCAGTATAAACTACCTACTTCTTCCCTGAAGGGTAAATCTATCAATTAAGAAGTACCCTCCAACCACCTTCGCCAACCCGGGTGAGTGTGTTTGTGTTTTGGGTGAGTGTAAGGGCCCTCGAACGGTGTGTTTTTCCCCGTTGGGACTTCTCCAACCGAATAAGTTCCAAGAAATGCTGTAATTTATTCTATCTGCATTCCCCCCCTCCCAAAAAAAAAATGTTCGTAAGGTTTTGATATTTAGCAAAATATCCGCCTTTTACCCCCACAAATAAAAAAAAAATTCAAAATTAATTTTCCCAGCTTATAAAACATTATTTTATGTTTGCTTTCAAATGGCGTGGGATCAAGAAATAAATGAATAGCTTACTTTCAAGATAATCGACGAAAATGCGCGCATAGCAAATCACTTGAAAAAAAAATATGGAGAAAATTGTTTTTTTCAGTTTTTGCATACCATAAGAGTGATCTTACACAGTTAGACCTTCATAAAGTCCGTTTTCTCTAATGTTATAGTCCCTGGAGGTATAAAAGAGAACGATAGATAATGTTACAGTCCCAAGTTTTATTCACAAATACAGTTACATAAAAAAACCATACCACGGGCGGGACTTGAACCTGCGGTCAGAGAGTCTCAAAACTTCAGACCGTCGCGTTAGCCACTGGATCAGCTAGCCACAATAAGATTCGTCCAACTAGGCATATTTCTACACCATAGGAAGGTTAGCATAGGCACCACTGTGACCACAAATGCAAGTTTTTACAGACGAATCTCCAGCTAGCGTGGCCGTGACGAACTCTATCTCAAGTCCCCTCAAAGCCATTAACATGAGTTTTGAGACTGACCGCGGGTTCAAATCCCGCCCGTGGTATGGTTTGTTTGCAATCGTGTCATTACGATTTCGTGAGTACAGTTACATAAATTATCATACGGTGCCCAGTGGCCTGGTGAATAAAGCTCTCGCTTCACACGACGAGTGTCCGGGTTCGATTCTCGGAGAGGGTAGAAACATTGGGTGTGTTCTTTACACCTGTTGTCTATGTTCCCCATCAGTAAAATGGGTACCTGGGTGTTAGTCGACTGGTGTGGGTCGCATCCTGGGACAAAACTGACCTAATTTGCCCGAACTATTCAGCATAACAAGCGGCTTTCTATATAGTATTATGTCATTGATGTCAGCTATGGTCTGTATACCTTGTACATGTACTTGTAGAAATAAAATTATAATTATTATGTTGGAGACTCCAGTGAGCAACTTGCTAACTCAACAAATATTCTCAGAAGGCTTCTGATTAGTTCTCCGACTCCATAATAGCTCCTTCTACTCTATAACGATGCCAAATCGTGAATTATTATATTAGAAAGAATAATAAAAGAAATAACTAAAAACAATCGGAAAAACAAACTGAAAATTCACAGTAAAGAACTCGGCAAAGATGCAACATTCAGGGCGCCACGAGTACACTGAGAGACAACACTGTCAGGGGCCCCAGACTGTTTAACTGACTCCCAGCATGCATAAGGGGGGATTACCAGTAAACCCCTGGCTCTCTTCAAGAAGGTGCTGGAGAGGTACCTAATGTCAGTACCTGACCAGCCGGGCTGTGGTTTGTACGTCAGTTTGCTTACGGCCAGTGGTAACAACCTGGTTGACGAGACCCTGCCCCACCACGAGGCCTGGTCTCAGACCGGGCCAAAGGGGTGCTGACCCCCAAAACCCTTTCCAGGTATACTCCAGCTATATGAACACGTATGCTACGGGTGGCGGTGTCACCACTAAATGTTATAATGACTATAATTAATTGTCTAAACATCGTACAACAATGAGACTTATTCCAAAGCGTTGCCAAATTATTAAAGTACTTTTCTATAAGTTTAGCCCAATTTTCGTATTGTTTCTATTATTTCATTTATTGTTTTTTAATGCAGGCGTCAGGTGTGTCAGTCTCCCCTTCATGGCTGAGAATTTTTCTTCTCCAGCGTAAGAATGAATGATAATGAGTTGGTTTTAAAAACACAAAAAATACTTCTGTTGTAAAACTTGAGGCTATGTTTGTTGAGCAGTTTAAGACACTTCTTGCAGCAGCCAAGGCAATTATAAGAACAGTTTTAAATGTTAATCACTAGGAGTTTAGAGTAAGCATGAATGCTGGTTCTCAGAAGATACCTGAATTACTCTTCGTATTTTCTAAATGGTGTCATTAAGTGTGTATGTGAGACTTCTGATCAGATTAATCTTCTGTTTCAGTGGGTGGTATTTACAAGTTTATTACAACCAGGTCACAATTAAGCAATTTATCATTAGCTATCTCTTAACTGGTTGATTCTCACCTCCAGTCTGGAGAATTTCATTTAAATTATAGGACTCGCAGTTCCTTCTTCTCGCATTTGTTAAATTCAATAAACAAAATTTCGAAGTCTGTGATAACTGTGGAAACTTTTTTTTATATAATTTTCCTATAATTGCTATTATAATGAAATACAAATGTTAAGTCGTAATGTTAATATTGTGTATTAACGGTAGTCAAACTACTTGAGGAAGCGAGTGAGTGTTTCCAACTGAGTAGGGAAGATGTGTAGATGGTAGGTGGCAGTGTTGGTGACACAGCGGGGGTGGTGTAGATGGTAGGTGGCGGTGTTGGCGACACAGCGGGGGTGGTGTAGATGGTAGGTGGCAGTGTTGGTAGAATCAGCGGGTGGTGTAGAATGGTAGTGTGCTAGTGTTGGCGACAAAAGCGGGGGTGGTGTAAGGGTGGTAGGTGGCAGTGTTGGTGCCACAGCGGGAGTGGTGTAGATGGTAAGTTAGCAGTTTGGTGACACCAGGGGGGGGTAGATGTTGTGTAGATGATGAGTTGTAATATGGCTGGTGACACCCGTGGGGGGGGTAGATTGTGTAGATGGCAAGTTTTAAATGCTGGTGACTTGTGAGGGGGAGGGGGTGGTTGTTAGATGAGTTTGATAGTGCTGGTGAACCAGGGGGGGTGTAGATGCAAGTTAGTGTGCGGTGGACACGGGGGGGTTGTGTAGAGGTAGTAAGGAGTTTGTGACGTGGGGGGTGTGAAGATGGAAAGGTTGAGTGTTGTGACACGGGTGGGGGTTGTTGTGTAGATGGGTGGAGTTGTTGGCTGGACACGGGGAGGGGTGATTGGTAAGTTAGTAATTGGTGACACCGGAGGGAGTTTGTGAAAATGATAGTGATGCTGGTGACACGGGGGGGTTGTGTAGATGGAAGTTATAGTGCTGGTGACACGGGGAGGGGTTGTGTAGATGGCAAGTTAATAGTGCTGGTGACTCCGACG